CGTTGCATTTTCTATTGAAGCTCCTTATTAAATTTGCCTCGACGACCCCGTTCCAGTTACTTGCAACATTCTTGCACTAAAGACGGCTTTCCTGGCGTCTCTTTGGGCTCATCTGGACCTCCAGATTCCGTCCGTATGTGTGTGTGTTTGTTTTGTGTGTTTTTGTTTTGTGTGTGTTTGTGTTTGTGTGTGTTTCCAGAGTCTCCCCTCCAGTGTGAAAATAAAATCAGTTTTTTTTTGGAATAGCAGAGCACATGAACCCAACAGAATTTAGATGTGTTGCGGAATAAAAAAAAAATTGTGGGTGGACGGGTGGGATTTTTTTCGTGTGGGTGGGGAGAGAATTAAGGTGGGGGTGGGATGGGGGAGAGGGGGGGGGATGGGTAGTTATTTGGGTGGGGGGTAATTGGAAAGGCTCAAACAGGGAAATGTAATTACAGGAGACCGTGTATGACTTTTAAATGTAATATTCTCATAGCTCGCTGGGGTTCCATTGTGTGCATGTTGACCGAATGAGAGGGGGGAGATTTTGAGAGGGGAGGGGATTGAGAGATGGGAGAACTGAGAGAGAGAGAAGAGAGAGAGAGAGAGAGAGAGAGAGAGAGAGAGAAGAGAGAGAGAGAGAGAGAGAGAGAGAGAGAGAGAGAGAGAGAGAGAGAGAGAGAGAGAGAGAGAGAGAGAGAGAGAGAGAGAGAGAGAGAGAGAGAGAGAGAGAGAGACAGAGAGGGGGATTGATTGAGAGAGAGTGAATGTGAGGGGGAGGTATTTAAAGAGGGGAAAGGGGAATTGAGAAGGGTAATTCAGAGGTGGGAAAGGGGGTGGATTAGGAGGGAAGGGATGATAGGGGGGATTGAGACTGGGATCGGATTTTATTTGTTATACTGCTCTATCTGTTCCTCCATGACGTGAAGAGGAATGTTCACTATTCTACAAGTGTTGAGTCGTTCTCTGATTTTGTTCATTTGTTATGCGCCCCATACTCCTGTAGGTAATGGTAGGTTGTAGTGAACATTACACCCTTCCCTTGGGCAGCTGAGACTGTCCTTAAGACTGGCTCCCTCTGACCATCCTTCAGGAGACCGTCTCCACCACTAGAAGCTCCCCCCTCACTCTAAGCTTTAGGTTAAGTAAATCATGTTCTCCTTGAACCACAGATAGAACTCTGGCCCAGGGGACAGGATCTCTTGCTAGGCTTCTTCGACGATGCAAATTTCCGCAACATGATCTCAAGACAATGGTTTATTGATACCTCATTGGTCGAGAACGTTCTTTCCCCCCCCCCCCTGATACCACTCATATTTGATGCTGTGAATCATCTAGGCTCTGGAGACGTGATGGAGAGTACCGCCAGCCTGTGTGTGTTCCCGCCTCGCGCGGGGCAGGCTCCTTGGTAATGCTTGACGCGTGGTTCGGAAAATGACATGTAAATTCCTCCGAACTCTCAGTTTCCTCAGGTTGAGTACGCGCTGCGGGGTCCTGTTACCTGCTTCCTTCACGGCCTCGTGACCTGACGGCGTCCTCAGCGGCGTTGCTCAGGGCTGAGGTGTTTCCTGGCAGCCACCAGAGGACTCTGATGGTTAGTTATGTACCAGGGGGGGTGGGGGTAAACCAGCCTTGATATCACACTGAGGCTGCACGCTGAAGTTACGAGCTGAGGGGGGATTTTGATGCAGGTATACTAGACACGTGACCTGGGCTTGTTACCTGGGCCCGTGAGATGGACCCCTGACCTGGGCCCAAACTAGGTACTCAGAAATGTGTACATCTGCACCGAGAGTCACATTTGTTTGTATATTCACACACTGAAGCATATGTGAACACATCTTCTCAGAGAAACACATGTATGTGTTCATCCACGGAGAGGAACATGTGTGCATGTGCACATCCACAGGGAGAAGGAGATGAGTTATATCACGTAATTCATCATATATCTTCAGCCACGTTATTGTAACTCATCGTTTGCTCATCATTTTTTTTTTGGTAGGTGAAGAAACCCTACCCACGTCTCTCTGGCAGTTATGGATCCTGCGTTTCCTACCCAGCCTTAAAAAACAATAATACTTATAGCAAGCATTTGGTCAAACGTACAAAAATGGACTGTTGAACCCGATTTTTTTTTTTTTTGCAATTTGAATACCATCAATGGCAAACCATGAACTATAACAGTTGTTATAGGTTGTGGTTTAGGTTGTATTTGTTAAACAATTTACAAGCTTGTAAAAATCACAACCCAAGACTATTACTGTTGTATAGAACCTCGTAGCACTTCAGAGCTCATAAATGGAATACATATAAATGTAAACAAAGCCGCCGTGATTGAAGAAAGATGCACATGTTTCGTAACTGGTCACTCACCTGATTGTTGAATCCTTACCCAGGATATTATACAATGTGTTAATGGTCGTCTGAATAGTTTTATTTTCGAGATTATTTATTTTTGTCCTTATTGTAACAGAGGTGTTTACATATATCTACATTTATAATAGTTAGAATGTGTATAAGAGAGAGAGAGAGAGAGAGAGAGAGAGAGAGAGAGAGAGAGAGAGAGAGAGAGAGAGAGAGAGAGAGAGAGAGAGAGAGAGAGAGAGAGAGAGAGAGCGAGGGGCAGAATTAAAACAAAACAGCAAAAAAATTAATTTATTAGAAAACAAAACGAAATATTACAAAAATCAATATGAAGTCATTGAGGAGGAGAAGGAAGATGAGTATCGGTGGAAAGGCGATAATGGTGTGGAAGAGAAGAGAAGAGAGAGAGAGAGAGATGGAGGGAGACACCCATCAGCCGCAATGGTCAGTCCCAAGATTAGCTGTCAGCCCCCCTCTTGGGTCGCCAAGAGAGTGAGGGGAGGGGGGGGGTGGAAGGGAAATGGGAGAGGGGAAGGGTTGTAGGGGTGGGTGATGGTGGGGGGGGGTGTGGGTGAAGGGTCGGTAATGCCCTCCCCTCTACTGATCAGCTGTGCCATGATTGCCTCAGGAAAATGATGGCGATTTGATGACCTATCAGCGTACCCTATCTGGCTATCTCTGTGGCATTCTGACTGTCTGTGTTCACTTCTGGATGTCTGTGTTCACTTCTGACTGTCTGTGTTCACTTCTGGCTGTCTGTGTTCACTTCTGGCTGTCTGTGTTCACTTCTGGATGTCTGTGTTCACTTCTGGCTGTCTGTGTTCACATCTGGCTGTCTGTGTTCACTTCTGGCTGTCTGTGTTCACTTCTGGCTGTCTGTGTTCACTTCTGGATGTCTGTGTTCACTTCTGACTGTCTGTGTTCACTTCTGACTGTCTGTGTTCACTTCTGGATGTCTGTGTTCACTTCTGACTGTCTGTGTTCACTTCTGGCTGTCTGTGTTCACTTCTGGCTGTCTGTGTTCACTTCTGGCTGTCTGTGTTCACTTCTGGATGTCTGTGTTCACTTCTGGCTGTCTGTGTTCACATCTGGCTGTCTGTGTTCACTTCTGGCTGTCTGTGTTCACTTCTGGCTGTCTGTGTTCACTTATGGATGTCTGTGTTCACTTCTGGCTGTCTGTGTTCACTTCTGGATGTCTGTGTTCACTTCTGGCTGTCTGTGTTCACTTCTGGATGTCTGTGTTCACTTCTAGCTGACTGTCTGTGTTCACTTCTGGCTGTCTGTGTTCACTACTGGCTGTCTGTGTTCACTTCTGGCTGTCTGTGTTCACTTCTGGCTGTCTGTGTTCACTTCTAGCTGACTGTCTGTGTTCACTTCTGGCTGTCTGTGTTCACTTCTGGCTGTCTGTGTTCACTTCTGGCTGTCTGTGTTCACTTCTGGCTGACTGTGTTCACTTCTAGCTGACTGTGTTCACTTCTGGCTGTCTGTGTTCACTTCTGACTGTTTCTGTTCACTTCTGGCTGTCTGTGTTCACTTCTGACTGTTTCTGTTCACTTCTGGCTGACTGTGTTCACTTCTGGCTGACTGTGTTCACTTCTGGCTGTCTGTGTTTACTTCTGGCTGACTGTGTTCACTTCTAGCTGTCTGTGTTCACTTCTGACTGTTTCTGTTCACTTCTGGCTGTCTGTGTTCACTTCTGACTGTCTGTGTTCACTTCTGGCTGTCTGTGGTCACTACTGGCTGACTGTGTTCACTTCTGACTGACTGTGTTCACTTCTGGCTGTCTGTGTTCACTTCTGACTGTCTGTGTTCACTTCTGGCTGTCTGTGGTCACTACTGGCTGACTGTCAACAAACAGACAGAGAGAAAGATCTAGGAGTTGATATCACACCAAACCTGTCTCCTGAAGCCCACATAAAAAAATAACGTCTGCAGCATATGTGAGGCTGGCTAACATCAGAACTGCCTTCAGGAACCTGTGTAAGGAATCATTCAGAACCTTGTACACCACAGATGTAAGACCAATCCTGGAGTATGCGGCCCCAGCATGAAGCCCGTACCTTGTCAAGCACAAGACGAAGCTGGAAAAAGTTCAGAGGTGTGCCACTAGACTGGTCCCAGAACTAAGAGGCATGAGTTACGAGGAAAGGCTGCGTCAGATGAACCTCACGACACTGGAAGGCAGAAGAGTAAGGGGAGACATGATTACTACCTACAAAAGTAGTTCTTAGTAGTTCACAACCTACAAAAGTAATTATCTGAGGAATTAACAGGGTGGATAAGTATAAACTGTTTAACACGGGGTGGTACGCGAACAAGGGGACACATGTGGAAACTGTGTACCCACATGAGCCACAAGGACGTTAGAAAGAATTTTTTCAGTGTCAGAGCAGTTAACAGGTGGAATGTATTAGGCAGTGATGTGGAGGAGGCTGACTCCATACACAGTTTCAAATGTAAATATGATTGAGCCCAATAGGCTCAGGAATCTGTACACCAGTTGATTGATGGTTAAGAGGCGGAACCAAAGAGCCAGAGCTCAACCCCCACAAGCAGAACTAGGTGAATACAACTAGGTGAGTACCTCCCCAGGATGTGGGCCATAGCAGCTGTCTAATTACCAAGTACCTATTTACTGCTAGGTGAACAGACAATCAGGTGAAGGAAACTCGGCCTATTTGTTTCTGCTGAGGCTGGGAATGATTTGATGAGACGAAATGATGAGAGAGTTTCCAACTAGTCATGTTTGCGTGGTAGCAAGAGGCTCCTTGCTCGTCCTGGGACCCGGAATTATCGTCACCTTGCTCGTCCTGGGACCCGGAATTATCGTCACCTTGCTCGTCCTGGGACCCGGAATTATCGTCACCTTGCTCGTCCTGGGACCCGGAATTATCGTCACCTTGCTCGTCCTGGGACGCGGAATTATCGTCACCTTCCTCGTCCTGGGACCCGGAATTATCGTCACCTTGCTCGTCCTGGGACCCGGAATTATCGTCACCTTCCTCGTCCTGGGACCCGGAATTATCGTCACCTTGCTCGTCCTGGGACGCGGAATTACCGTCACCTTGCTCGTCCTGGGACCCGGAATTATCGTCACCTTGCTCGTCCTGGGACCCGGAATTATCGTCACCTTGCTCGTCCTGGGACGCGGAATTATCGTCACCTTCCTCGTCGTGGGACCCGGAATTATCGTCACCTTGCTCGTCCTGGGACGCGGAATTATCGTCAATATGTTGCGACAACTTTTATAATGACTTTCGGAAAATTTATCAGAGTTTCAGAATACGTTTACAGAAGGGCTGAAGCCCCCGTCGCCTGGCAAAATAAGTATTCTAATACTCTAACAGTTTCACCGGCTTGGCTGACGCCTCCGTGCTCACAAAAAAAATATATAGAAAAGAATGTTCGTGAAAGAGTTGTTAAATCTTGCTTCAAGTTTTGGTGGATGTGTGTGTGTGTGTGTGTGTGTGTGTGTGTGTGTGTGTGTGTGTGTGTGTGTGTGTGTGTGTGTGTGTGTGTGTGTGTGTGTGTGTGCTCATCCAGATGTACTCACCTACATGTGCTTGAAGCGTCGATCATCAGCTCCTGGCCCCACCTTCCAAACAAGAATAGTTTAATAAAACGACTCAGTTCCCACTCTTCTCGTATATAAGCATTTAAAATTGTGTCTTGAACTAGCTACAAGGACATCTTCGTCTAAGCATCCTTCTTCCTGGGGGAATCTTATTCAGAAGAAGTTCTTTCTAACATCTGCGATCCATTTCTGTCTCCAATGTTCTTATTAACAGGCTTGTAACTTTCTCTTCATACCGCACTACCTTTAGGTCTTAAGCCTTAAGTCTTAACCAAAATGGTTACCCTGGAACACGATCCGCCAATCGGTTTATAACCAGGGACAGCATCTGTACGTCTTACGTCGATCGTGGTGCTCTAGTATGTATTTAAGAGACCGTTTATGTCTTTTATATTGTTTACGTGTTAAATATATCCGTGTTTTATATCTTTTACGTGTTAAATATATCCGTGTTTTATATCTTTTACGTGTTAAATATATCCGTGTTTTATATCTTTTACGTGTTAAATATATCCGTGTTTTATATCTTTTACGTGTTAAATATATCCGTGTTTTATATCTTTTACGTGTTAAATATATCCGTGGTTTATATCTTTTACGTGTTAAATATATCCGTGTTTTATATTGTTTACGTGTTAAATATATCCGTGGTTTATATCTTTTACGTGTTAAATATATCCGTGTTTTCAACAAATATATCTGTGAATACGCAGCAAATACTCTGTCTATATGCAGCAAACACATCAGTGTGTATGCAACAAATACATGAATGCATGTGCAGTTAATACATCCATGTAGATGCAACAAATACATCACTGTACATGCAGCAAATACAGCACTGTATACTGCAGTAAATACATTCGTATAAATACAACAAATCCATCCATATATATATGCAGCAAATACTAAACAGTTTCTAGCAAAGAGAACTCTATGTAGGAATAACAATAAATGCATTCTAGAAATGTTGACATTTTTGCGTTGCTATAGCAGGTAAATCACCGGCGGGAAGCTAAAATCCCCACTCATAATTTCCCCGGGGGAAACGTGAGTTTTTAATACTAATGTGCTATATGGGCGTATGCCGCTGATTAATACCAACTTCAGTGATAAAAGTTTTAATTCATTGTTAGATATTTTTACGCTGATGCATAGTGGTGGGTGCTTGGGTGGGGTGGGGGGGTGTTGTTTTGCTTGTGTACTAACCTAATTGTGCTTGCGGGGGTTGAGCTTTGGCTCTTTGGTCCCGCCTCTCAACTGTCAATCAACTGGTGTACAGATTCCTGAAGTGTGTGTGTGTGTACTTGCCTAATTGAGTTTGGAGGACTGGGCATCAGCTCCTGGGGTTTGTGGGGTTTTTTTTTCGGTTACTAGTTAGCCTGTAATGCATTGGCTCCCAATCGTTTTAAGTGTACTACGGGCTCGCCTTAGCCCGTGCTACTTGGAATATTTTGTTCCAAGTAGCGAATCTTAAACAACAGCAACAATCCCAATCGTTTTGTATCTTGATATCTGTGGATTGGTAGATATCACGATAGATATCTCTTACATTGCTGTTCGTGTTAGATTTTAGACCAGCTGTTGGGATTGTTCCACTTGCTGCTTCTTTTACAGTGACGAGGTGTTGCCTGGCATCCCTGTGGCTCGTACCAGCGTCTAGTGACGTACGAGGTGTTGCCTGGCATCCCTGTGGCTCGTACCAGCGTCTAGTGACGTACACGTCGACCCTAGTACACGTAGCTCATTCTAAACATTCTGTTCCTATTTCACTGATTCGTGTGAGTATATTATATGTCTGGATCATTTCTCCTTCCTTCTGGTGTCTTTAAGTCTAGTTCCTTAAGTCTCTTTTAACTTTCACATCACTTTTAATTCGCACATCTTTTGGTTCCTCAAGGCTGTTGTTATTATTCTCCAGATTAGCATATGATGCTGATGTGACTCTACTGATGTGTACCTCCCTAAGCTTAGCATATGATGCTGATGTTATTATAAGGGTGAGTTCTTCCCCAAGCTCAGCATATACTGTTAATGTGATTGTAATGATATGTGTCTCCTTAAGCTTAGCACTAATTAATCTTTTGGAAATTCTTCAGCCAATTAATAAGTGTATCAGGCACGCCGACCTGGTTATCCAGCTTGTGTCTGAGCCACATATATAATATGCTATCAAATGCTGTCTAACAACTTAGAATTTCATTACGGTTATAATTATATTCAGTATGATTGCATTATTTAGTATAATTAATTTGCATACATAATTAATATTTAGATGTCTGACAAGCCTTTCATGCGATTAAACACAGATTACTAATTTATGATAAAACCTTTGACGCAGTGAACGAACCTTCCAGTTTGGGGAATCATCATTTAAAAAAAAAAAATAATCAATTAAAAGCAAATTTCGATACGAATTGCTGTATAATGAAATTAAAAGAAATTATTTGCTGCCTATTAATAAATTTATGATAAGTCAGATTAATAAAAAATAGTATTTACCTGTATGATCAGTCTCTACTCCGCTACTTATGATCAGTCTCTACTCCGCTACTTATGATCAGTCTCTACTCCGCTACTTATGATCAGTCTCTACTCCGCTACTTATGATCAGTCTCTACTCCGCTACTTATGATCAGTCTCTACTCCGCTACTTATGATCAGTCTCTACTCCGCTACTTATGATCAGTCTCTACTCCGCTACTTATGATCAGTCTCTACTCCGCTACTTATGATCAGTCTCTACTCCGCTACTTATGATCAGTCTCTACTCCGCTACTTATGATCAGTCTCTACTCCGCTACTTATGATCAGTCTCTACTCCGCTACTTATGATCAGTCTCTACTCCGCTACTTATGATCAGTCTCTACTCCGCTACTTATGATCAGTCTCTACTCCGCTACTTATGATCAGTCTCTACTCCGCTACTTATGATCAGTCTCTACTCCGCTACTTATGATCAGTCTCTACTCCGCTACTTATGATCAGTCTCTACTCCGCTACTTATGATCAGTCTCTACTCCGCTACTTATGATCAGTCTCTACTCCGCTACTTATGATCAGTCTCTACTCCGCTACTTATGATCAGTCTCTACTCCGCTACTTATGATCAGTCTCTACTCCGCTACTTATGATCAGTCTCTACTCCGCTACTTATGATCAGTCTCTACTCCGCTACTTATGATCAGTCTCTACTCCGCTACTTATGATCAGTCTCTACTCCGCTACTTATGATCAGTCTCTACTCCGCTACTTATGATCAGTCTCTACTCCGCTACTTATGATCAGTCTCTACTCCGCTACTTATGATCAGTCTCTACTCCGCTACTTATGATCAGTCTCTACTCCGCTACTTATGATCAGTCTCTACTCCGCTACTTATGATCAGTCTCTACTCCGCTACTTATGATCAGTCTCTACTCCGCTACTTATGATCAGTCTCTACTCCGCTACTTATGATCAGTCTCTACTCCGCTACTTATGATCAGTCTCTACTCCGCTACTTATGATCAGTCTCTACTCCGCTACTTATGATCAGTCTCTACTCCGCTACTTATGATCAGTCTCTACTCCGCTACTTATGATCAGTCTCTACTCCGCTACTTATGATCAGTCTCTACTCCGCTACTTATGATCAGTCTCTACTCCGCTACTTATGATCAGTCTCTACTCCGCTACTTATGATCAGTCTCTACTCCGCTACTTATGATCAGTCTCTACTCCGCTACTTATGATCAGTCTCTACTCCGCTACTTATGATCAGTCTCTACTCCGCTACTTATGATCAGTCTCTACTCCGCTACTTATGATCAGTCTCTACTCCGCTACTTATGATCAGTCTCTACTCCGCTACTTATGATCAGTCTCTACTCCGCTACTTATGATCAGTCTCTACTCCGCTACTTATGATCAGTCTCTACTCCGCTACTTATGATCAGTCTCTACTCCGCTACTTATGATCAGTCTCTACTCCGCTACTTATGATCAGTCTCTACTCCGCTACTTATGATCAGTCTCTACTCCGCTACTTATGATCAGTCTCTACTCCGCTACTTATGATCAGTCTCTACTCCGCTACTTATGATCAGTCTCTACTCCGCTACTTATGATCAGTCTCTACTCCGCTACTTATGATCAGTCTCTACTCCGCTACTTATGATCAGTCTCTACTCCGCTACTTATGATCAGTCTCTACTCCGCTACTTAACTGGCTACTCCGTAAAAAATATTAACTGTTTTGTCTAAAACGAAGGAACCCCAGCAACCCTCCTAACCCATAGAGGCCGATAGATAGTAAACAGTGAAGATACGGTCCTTTGGTTTTATACAAATGTGTTGTATTATTAACAGATTCACACTTATGAGAACAAAAGTGACATGATACGGTAAGTCTTGTTACTTAATTACTTAATGAGTGGTCCAGGACGGGTCAGATATATATATATATATATATATATATATATATATATATATATATATATATATATATATATATATATATATATGTATATATATATATATATATATATATATATGTATATATATATATATATATATATATATATATATATATATATATATATATATATATATATATATTATATATATATATATATATATATATATATATATGACATCTTGGGCCAGCTTAGTACATGTATGTTACATATATGTGTGTGTTATTTTTAGGCTTAAGAACGTTTTAGTTTGGTTGTTGCCTTCTTGCCTTCTATTATACAATATTAGAAAAGGAGTGTTTTTTTCGTGTTGGTAAACAGTCCTTTTCAGTACGTTCCGGCGACAGTTATTGTAAGTATTGCGATGTTTGGATGTTTGTTATGGTATTGTCACTCTGGCTGCTGGAAGATTATTAGGTACACTCCCAGCATCCCATCTCATCCCATCCCATTTCATCCCATCTCATCCCATCAGTTCTGGTTGGAAATGGGAGAGACGCCCCCAGAAAAGGATATATACTCGTGTGTGTTGTTTTAGTGGGAAGTGGGCTGGGGGGGGGGCACTATATGGGCCCCCATGACGCCTGGGGGGCACTACATGGGCCCCCATGACGGCTGGGGGGCACTACATGGTACCCCATGACGGCTGGGGGCACTACATGGTACCCCATGACGGCTGGGGGGCACTACATGGTACCCCATGACGGCTTGGGGGCACTACATGGGCCCCCATGACGGCTGGGGGGCACTACATGGGCCCCCATGACGGCTGGGGGCACTACATGGGCCCCCATGACGGCTGGGGGCACTACATGGTCCCCTATGACGGCTGGGGGGCACTACATATGACATGGTCCCCCCATGACGGCTGGGGGGCACTACATGGGCCCCCATGACGGCTGGGGAGCAGCACATAGTCCCCCCATGACGGCTGGGGGCACTACATGGTCCCCCATGACGGCTGGGGGGCACTACATGGTCCCCCATGACGGCTGGGGGGCACTACATGGGCCCCCATGACGGCTGGGGGGCACTACATGGTACCCCATGACGGCTGGGGGCACTACATGGGCCCCCATGACGGCTGGGGGGCACTACATGGGCCCCCATGACGGCTGGGGGCACTACATGAGCCCCCATGACGGCTGGGGGGCACTACATGGGCCCCCATGACGGCTGGGGGGCACTACATGGGCCCGCATGACGGCTGGGGGGCACTACATGGTCCCCCATGACGGCTGGGGGGCACTACATGGTCCCCCATGACGGCTGGGGGGCACTACATGGTCCCCCATGACGCCTGGGGGGCACTACATGGGCCCCCATGACGGCTGGGGGGCACTACATGGGCCCCCATGACGGCTGGGGGGCACTACATGGTCCCCCATGACGCCTGGGGGGCACTACATGGGCCCCCATGACGGCTGGGGGGCACTACATGGGCCCCCATGACGGCTGGGGGGCACTACATGGGCCCCCAGAGCCACATAGGATGGTGCCACCAGCCTCCCGCCCTCATAAAGTACATCTTTCCCACTCCCCCCAGCATCGTGATCCCTCCCCCCCCCCCCCCCCACCCACCAGCATCCCCCCTTTCTTAGGTTCGTGGATCTCCCTCCCCAACATCATGGCACTCCCCTCCCCCCCCTTCCCCAACATTGTGCCATCACATTGTAGCCCCGCACCCCCCAACAGAACCATCACAGCCTGGCTGATCCAGATGAATCTTGTCCAGTTCTCTCCCGTCTTCGAGTCCCTGTTCTTAGACCTGTTTGGTCAGTACGGTACAAATTCCTTGTTCTTAGTCCATGTTTTTCTCCGTTACCAGCTTTGTCCTCCATATACTATATACACTTCCTCCATATACTATATACACTTCCTCCCTATACTATATACACTTCCTCCCTATACTATATACACTTCCTCCCTATATACTACTATATACACTTCCTCCCTATATATATACACTTCCTCCATATACTATATACACTTCCTCCCTATACTATATACACTTCCTCCCTATACTATATACACTTCCTCCCTATACTATATACACTTCCTCCCTATACTATATACACTTCCTCCCTATACTATATACACTTCCTCCCTATACTATATACACTTCCTATACTATATACAACTTCCTCCCTATATACACTTCCACCCTATACTATATACACTTCCTCCCTATACTATATACACTTCCTCCCTATACTATATACACTTCCTCCCTATACTATATACACTTCCACCCTATACTATATACACTTCCACCCTATACACTTCTCAGTCTCGACCAAGATGCCAACATTTACTAACGAAACCTCTATATTTTGCAGCAAACATGGCGGCTTTGTTTACATTTATTAAATCGATTACTATAACTTCGAAACTTCACAACCCGAGGTTATTATTGTTATAAACAACCTCCTAGAGCCTTGGAGCTCATAGATTGTTTAATAAATGTCAACAAAGCCGCCGTGATTGAGGAAAGATGAACAGGTTTCGTATCTGACGAGCTGCGGTCCTGTTTATGTTCACAATTACGTTGTAGGAAGCGCATATCAGAGACACCACTCAGTAGCTGGTGCCGGTCGGCCGAGCGGACAGCACGCTGGACTTGTGATCCTGTGGTCCTGGGTTCGATCCCAGGCGCCAGCGAGAAACAATGGGCAGAGTTTCTTTCACCCTATGCCCCTGTTACCTAGCAGTAGAATAGGTACCTGGGTGTTAGTCAGCTGTCACGGGCTGCTTCCTGGGGGTGGAGGCCTGGTCGAGGACCGGGCCACGGGGACACTAAAGCCCCGAAATCATCTCAAGATAACCTCAAGATAACCTAACCTCAAGCCTGTCTTTCCGGATAACTGGGAGCCTCCAGGTGTTAAAGCTGACTCGTAGACTCAAGTACCAGGAGGTTACCAAACCCCTTAGGTGGTGGACTGGTCAACCAGACTGTTAGACTACGCTGCTCGCAGTCTGACGCATGAAGACTGGTGATTAGGTATCTTTTGGAGGTGTTTATCAAGGGTGCGGGTTATATTACCTGTGCCTTGGGTTTTAGTAGATGTGGGGATGTATGGTGTGGCCCAAACTGTTCCGTTGTATCCGGCCTCAACCAGCTTCTAACTAGGGAGATAGTTGTTACGGTTAGTTAAGGGTTAGTTGCTGCCTTAACTACCATGTGCCCGAGCCCTAGAGCTACACTAGTGTGCGATCTAGCCACACGGCGCATCCCTGTGTGAGGTTCATGGTGTGTCTTACTAGGGATTCCCACTCCCTAAATCTGTGGCTGGTGAGAGCAGCAGCCTCCCTGAGGGCCGTCCCTTAATCCCTGTCACTCCCACTGTGGTTCCCTGAGCAGTGTTTTGTGCAGGGAGTGGCACAGTGGTTCGTACTCTCTCTCTCTCTCTCTCTCTCTCTCTCTCTCTCTCTCTCTCTCTCTCTCTCTCTCTCTCTCTCTCTCTCTCATCTCTCTCTCTGTCCGCTCTCTCTCTCTCTCTCGCTCTCTCTCACTCTCTCTCTCTCTCTCTCTCTCTCTCTCTCTCTCTCTCTCTCTCTCTCTCTCTCTCTCTCTCTCTCTCTCTCTCTCTCTCTCTCTCTCTCTCGTAAACCTTCACTTGGTGTATTCTTAAGGAGCATTTTAAAGCTCACTTCTTGAGATATTTACATTTAATTGTATATATTAAGTCTTCCGAGCTGACCCATCATGACCTCACCCAACTTTTATCGTATATTTATTTTTTTAATATATTCTTACGTTTTTCCATATTCTTAGGTTTTTCTGCATTGCGTGTTTCAAATATACTGAAGTTTTCCTGTATAAATATATGCTTTTTAAACATTATTTTGATGAGAAGTAATAGTTTTCGAGGGTACTTAATGAATAACCTAAGGTTGTAATTAGACCTTAATAACCCTGCAGAGGTTGATAGGCCTTAATAATCCTCGTGAGGTTGATAGGCCTTAATAACCCTCCAGAGGTTGATAGGCCTTAATAACCCTTTGAAAGTTTATAGGCCTTAATAACCTTGCAGAGTTTCCTGCCCAGCGCCATATAAAAAAAAATACATATACATGAACAATAAGACCTTACAATTAGAAATATATCAACGTAATATGTCTTTATCAAAGTTTTTCGTAGAAAAATAAAGTATGATTAGTATACTCAAAATCTAATGAGCTTTTGAGGAACACGAGAGAGACAAGGATGGAAAAATGAGAATAAAACAAGGGGGCGCCGGCCCCTTTCTTCAGGAGGGCCAATTTCACGGTTAGTGACCCAGATGGAAAGGGGAGGGGGTGTGGGAGAGGGTATATGGGGTGGGGCGATGGGAGGGCGGGGGGGGGGGGACGTGGGGTGGAAGGAGTGGGGGTTGGGAGTATTTGGGAGGGGATGGCCAGTTGAGGAATGTAAAAGAATGAAAGTAAAGGAATAAAGGCGTGAAAAAGACAAGGAACCGACAAGAAATATGAAGATGAAAACTGATGGATTTTTAGTAATTGGGAAGAGAAGGAAGAGTAGTGATTGGGGTGTATAAGGTGGGATTAGGAAGAAAGAGAAGTGACATGAGGCTATCGCCGCTGCCCTCAGCCAGATATAAACGTCAACTTTTCCTTCATAAATGACTGAGGTAATCCACTTCAGAGGTGAGGTAGTTGAGGCTAACTGCTTCAGCATTAACTAGGACGACAATCGACTGAAAACCGGAGGCCAGGAGCTGAAGCTCATCTTGTAAATCCTAATACATTAATCAATCCAAATTTTGACCGCTATATAGGCTTCGCAAATGTAGAGTAACTAAGATTTACATAATTTATACAGCTGTATAACTGTATCATACAGGAATTATGGTAGTGAATTCAGGAGTAATACAGTGCAAAACAAAATACAATACATTTTAATGTTTTTTATGTTCCGGTAATTGAGTAGAGTTAAACAATTTAATTGTTAGTGTTGCCAACAACTTGGTCGGTGATTGTACAGAGTTTTATTCATTATTTTATTAACATAATTATTTACTACATTTATATGTGTATGTTATTATTCACCTTCTGTATATAAAAAATAATTATTATATGAGTAACGTTAATAATTAATATTTTATTCATATTATTAGTAACATTTATAATTACTCATTTTATTAATGTTATTATTTTTGTTATTGTGTTTATTTTATTTGTTTTATCTTGATCAATTTATTTTTGTTATTGTATTGTTAATGTGCGCACTAGGTAATGTCGAGTGGCCTAGTTAAGCTGCGCACTAGTTAAGGTGCGCACTAGTTAAGGTGCGCACTAGTTAAGGTGAGCACTAGTTAAGGTGAGCACTAGTTAAGATGCGCACTAGTTAAGATGCGCACTAGTTAAGGTGCGCACTAGTTAAGGTGCGCACTAGTTAAGGTGAGCACTAGTTAAGGTGAGCACTAGTTAAGGTGCGCACTAGTTAAGGTGAGCACTAGTTAAGGTGAGCACTAGTTAAGATGCGCACTAGTTAAGATGCGCACTAGTTAAGGTGCGCACTAGTTAAGGTGCGCACTAGTTAAGGTGCGCACTAGTTAAGATGCGCACTAGTTAAGGTGCGCACTAGTTAAGGTGAGCACTAGTTAAGATGCGCACTAGTTAAGATGCGCACTAGTTAAGGTGAGCACTAGTTAAGGTGAGCACTAGTTAAGATGCGCACTAGTTAAGATGCGCACTAGTTAAGGTGCGCACTAGTTAAGATGCGCACTAGTTAAGATGCGCACTAGTTAAGGTGCGCACTAGTTAAGGTGAGCACTAGTTAAGATGCGCACTAGTTAAGATGCGCACTAGTTAAGGTGCGCACTAGTTAAGGTGCGCACTAGTTGCGCAGTCTGTGTACATTCAACCATATAGTCAGTATAAGCACTATAGTATCGGAGGCTGGACGGGTTGATCACGTGACACATTTTTTA